TGCCCCTACCCCTGCTCATGCTGTCTCTCTCTCAAATAAATAAATAAAATCTTTAAAAAAATGGTTCAGAAGGGGACTAGCTGGAGGGGGATAAATGTGTCAGAACAATTTGCGACTTGTGACTAGAAAATTAGAGTTTATATCCTCCCTATGGTGAACAGGGTATGACAGGGCCACATTATTAATATCTACAGTAATTCAGTCATTAAAAAAAAAAGACTGATGGGGCGCCTGGGTGGCTCAGTCGTTAAGCGTCTGCCTTCGGCTCAGGTCATGATCCCAGGGTCCTGGGATCGAGCCCCGCATCAGGCTCCCTGCTCAGTGGGAAGCCCGTTTCTCCCTCTCCCGCTCCCCCCACTTGTGTTCCCTCTCTCGCTGTGTCTCTCTCTGTCAAATAAATAAATAAAATCTTAAAAAAAAAAAAGACTGATGAATCACAGACCTGTACCCCTGAAACAAATAATACATTGTATGTTAATAATAAAAAAAATATAACCTCAGTTATAAGCCTACTAATGAACAGATTTACCATTAGTACATAATTCTTTCAGTCAAGTAACATGTCTCTTCCTACATCTTTGGACTATAGGTCTTTTACTGTTACAAATTTTGTTAACTTCTGAATTTTCTGATACCTCTACTTTTCCTATTTATACATTTCACCTGTGTACAAAAGATTCTTCTTCTGAAAGTGACAAAAGATGGGCATAAGTGTGATTCTGTTATTTGAAACAAGAATATTACTTTGGATGCTTCTTTTAGGATTTCTAAACAAATAAATATTGAGTTAAATTGCTTTCCTTAATGGCCTACTCTCATCAAATCTTTCATAAGTTAGTTTCAATGTAAAGAAATACTGTTATGAATCATCTGAACTTTTCTTTTGTGAGAATGTATTTGCATTGGTAGTGTCCTTTGTGGAATAGTGAAAATAAATTTGCCTTGAATGTTACTGGTGATGGCTGATACTTTCCCAGGGACACCTCGGTGGCTCATTCGGTTAAGCATCTGCCTTTGGCTCAGGACATGATCCCAGGGTTCTGGGATCGAGCCCTGCTTTGGGCTCTCTGCTCAACCGGGAGCCTGCTTCTCCCTCTCCCTTGCCTGCTGCTCTGCCTACGTGTGATCTCTCTCTCTCTCTCCCTGTCAAATAAATAAATAGAATCTTTAAAAAAAAATGTTGCTTCCCCAGTCAATGATGTGAAGCCCAAGTTGTACTTTTTAAGTTAGTAATGTTGAAAGTAGTTAAAAAAAAAAAAAGAAGAAGAAGAAGATAGCAGGAAGGGAAGAATGAAGGGGCGGAAATTGGAGGGGGAGACGAACCATGAGAGACTATGGGCTCTGAGAAACAAACTGAGGGTCCTAGAGGGGAGGGGGTTTGGGGGAGGGGTTAGCCTGGTGATGGGAATTAGAGAGGGCACGTTCTGCGTGGAGCACTGGGTGTTATACGCAAACAATGAATCATGGAACACTACATCAAAAACTAATGATGTAATGTATGGTGATTAACATAACAATAAAAAAATGTTGAAAAAGAAAGTAGAATTTTCAAAAGCAAAAAAAAATGATTTAAATTCAAATACAGAATAAACACATATGAAAGATGTATTTGATTAATTAAAAAAGGAGTCAAAAGGATGGTAAAGCTAGTTGGAAGAAGATTCAAGAGACTGAGTGTAGATAGGAATCCAAGAAAGAATGTTGGATTACTTTTACTAAGTTGGGTACATAAATAGTTAATGTCCAACAGGGCAATAAAACCATAACTGTAGAGCCATTTGTATTTCTGCTGGGAAAAGAAATCTACAAATTAACATGTAACTTAACAAAGTCTATCCTAATCTGTAATAAGTAGTAAAATCAGACATTTATTAATTCACCTAGAATTAAATAATCTTTAGGTGAGTCTGTGAAGAAATGGTCCTATCTGACATTGAAAGAATGTGAAGTTACTCCTCTGGATTATATCTAGTTTTTCCAATTTTTCTTAACAGTGGGTAAGACAATTTTCAAGAGAAACTACAAACCTCTCCTCCCACCAGCATCCTTGGAGAGCTAGATCCTGATAATGAATTCAAATTCATTTTCTCTCTGTTTACCTCTCTCTCTGTGTCTGTCTCTCTCAAGACTACTTTTATATAATTCCAGATTTTTATATCATTAACTGTATGTGCCAAACACAGTGTTTTGTGATTATTGTTGAAAATTGTATGCTTTTTATATATCAGATCTGTTGTGTAGATAGCTTTTTATAACAGTGACTTATATTAGACTCATTATAAGTGAGTCTTTTATTTAAAGTAATACTGTTAGGAATCATCCTGAATTTTTTTTTAAAGATTTTATTTATTTATTTATTTGAGAGAGAGAGCACATGAGAAGGGGGAGGGTCAGAGGGAGAGGCAGACTCCCCGCTGAGCAGGGAGCCCGATGCGGGACTTGATCCTGGGACTCCAGGATCGTGACCTAAGCCGAAGGCAGTCGCTTAACCAACTGAGCCACCCAGGTGCCCCTGAATTTTTTTTTAATGAAAATTCTTGTACATATGTTGTACGTATATAAGTTAAAGTTTTCCTATGCTGACATTATACTCACATTCTGAATTATATAGCTTTTTTCTCTGAAGCTATTGTTCACACACATGTGAAATCTGTTTATTCTTCTAATTAAACTACTTTCTCACTTTCAGACCCATTTTCAAGGCAAGCCCTGCTCACTCTTCTTCCTCTTCTGAGAGTTGAATTACTGACTGTCACCATATTTCTCAGCAACCCTCAGAACTTCCTTTCCTGACAGTGAAGGAGAGAAAGTGTTGGGAGAATGCTGAGGTTTTGGAGAATTAAATGTCCTCAGAGTAATTCTAAAAGTTTATGGGGACACATATAGGACTTGAAGACCACGGGGAGTAGGAAGGTCAGTGGTGAGGTTTCCCCAACTACCTTAACTAAAGAGACCTAGTCTTCTGTTAGGCTTGATCAGTCCGTCATGGTTGTTCACTGGTTAAGCCATGTCCCATCTTCATGGCATGTCAGCTCTATGAGGGCAGGGGCCATGCTGGTGTTGATCACTCTCTTAATCTCAGCATCCATCCCAGGGTCTCAAAAACAATGCGCTAAATACATACTTATTGAACGAATGTCTCACATTACTGAAGTATTATCTATGGAGTAAGGAGATAATAGGTAAGAGTGAAAGAAAGTGGCAAGTGTCTTCAGTTTAAGAGACGGGGCAGTACACCATTGTTTCAAGCATCAGTCGTTCACTTTCCTGTTTTTACTGATGGAAATATTGTAGGCACAAAAGCTTTGGGTGCCATGAAGGATGAATATGACCATTATAATATGATATAATAGCGAAGAGAAAAAAAGAAATAGGCTGAAGTCACACAGGTTGAACCTTTACTGGAAAAAAAATTGTCTTGGTAGCTAATCCCCAAAATAGACTTTATCTAAAATAAAATCATTATTATGATGGTTGCCTTTAAGCAATACATTAACTCAGAGATAACTGCATGGCTCTAAATGTGTCAGCAATTAAAGTCTGTCTTATTGGAATTTTTCTTAATTTATTGTAATCTAATAATCATAGAACACATTATTTGTATATGACACAGTTATGTTTTTACCGTGCACATTCATTCAGCTATATAACAAGGAATAATTGTTCAGTTAACATTATTCTTTCTACAGAATGCAATGTTTATTCATGTGCATTTGGTGAATGAATTCTTTATAAGCACATTAACAAGATGTGGAAAAATCAAACCTCTGAATTTTCAAAGGATAACTGCATAAAATAGTTGAAAAAAATTTCAGGGGGTGGTGAGTTATAAATGGTTCACATTAAATATGATGGATAATCTGAATGAAATGTATATTTGGGCATACAAGTAGCTGTAATAATTTTGTCAAATGAAACAAAATGAGTAAACTTTAATGTCATTTCATTGACTGGGAAGAGTTAGCTAACCAGTTGAAAAATAGCTTCATTGGGTTTCCCTAACCTTGTCATTTATTACATAAATGTACACTCAAGGTAATTGCCTTAAAAAAAATCTTTGACTTACGAAATGTAGAAAACACTGCTAGGCTTTCTGAGGATTATCAGTTCTATTTTGTGTCTGTTGTTCAGGGTGCAACTGCTTTTGACAGATGAGCTGTTACGTTACTGGTATAACATGCCATCTTTTTTTCAGATGAACTGAATAAAAGTGATCTTGACAATGAGTAGATAAGACACTGTCAGAAAGCTGAAAAAACATGTCAATGTCACAGTTTTGACACAAATGCAGCAGAACAGCCCTTATAATATCATTGAGTGAATGACTTTCCAAAGATGTCCTCTAGAAGACAGAATACAGCATTGCTCTTAAGTACTATTACTTAGCCACAAAAATCATAAAACGAAACACAAAGTTCAGCTTAATATATACTTGAGGTGGCATTTGATGAGTCTGATGTATGTGTGTGTATTTGTATGTAGATCTCATATCTACAGCACGTATGAGAGAATTTTGAGACATCAAAACTATTTTTTCAGGAGCCAAAAAGCATTTAACTTCAACACTTCAGGAACATCATTAAAAATACTGATTGTGAAATAAGCAAAGTGATTTTATGGGTATTGATCATAATCTTTTTCCTGATTTTCTTTTGTTTATTGAATGAAAAGAATAGCTTTCAATAATATGAGAAAATTAGGAATACAATTTAAGATGTATTTCTAGATCACGATTTTGTAAATAGGTTAGTAAAGATGAAAATGGAATCAATCCCAGGCATCAAGAGAGAATTAGACATTGGAACTTTTATTTTCCTTTATGACTGGCTTGGAACTGAACTGTGCACGTGTGTGTTTATGCACAATGCACAATGCTTTATATATATCATATGTATATGATATATATACATACATACATACATACACACACACGCATTTAAAATGCTTTAATAAAAAGCATATGTATCCTTTAGAATGACTTTCAATGTCTTTGTCTCTAGGATCAGAGGTGGTTGATCTTGATGGAAAAAGTTCCCTTCTCTACAGATTTGATCAAAACTCCCTGAGCCCAGTAAAGGATATTATTTCTTTGAAATTTAAAACTATGCAGAGTGATGGAATTCTGCTCCACCGGGAAGGGCAAAATGGAGATCACATCACACTGGAATTAAGAAGAGGAAGACTCTTTTTACTTATTAATTCAGGTAAAATTATTTGGTGAAGTACTTGAAAATCTGGCCATTTGGATATCACTTCAGTCACTTTATATTTTTATAGCTTCTCTTTTAATAGTTAAGGTGCCTTATTTCCATATTCAAGGGCTTATATGTACACCAATATTGCACTTTCATGTACAGATGGTTCATATTTTGCAAATTGTACAAGACCCTCATTTGATATTTTTTACAAAGTGCCAGGAGAACTACATAGCTGTTTTCAAACATCATGAAGAAAGTCATTGAAAATATTGAGGTAGTAAAAATAATGAGGTTGTAGCAAAGATAAAATTTACATTGCAAATGAGCATGTGATGGGAACTACTAATAAAAAGAATTAACAGTGGAAGAAATTACAACAAGGTTGAGAGGATATTATATTCAAACTTCAGGTAGATCCATACTAGTGTTTTGGATGGAATGCAAGGAAGGAGATTGCAATTATTATGAGTTATGAGAGATGCTGGTCCACAAGGGGGAATTTTTTTTTTTTTTTAGACTGGGAATAATGGTGCCGTTATTTTTTTTCTCTTCTCAGGTGAAGCCAAACTGCCCTCCACTCACACGCTCATCAATCTCACCCTGGGCAGCCTGCTGGACGATCAGCACTGGCACTCCGTGCTCATCCAGCGCGTGGGCAAACAAGTCAACTTTACAGTGGATGAGCACAGGCACCGTTTCCACGCCCAGGGAGAATTCAGTTACCTGGACCTTGATTATGAGGTGTGACCGTTATGTTTCAATTAGTACGGATTTTTATGATGTGTATGTTGCGTAGCCATGCAAAAGAAAATATATTGTAGGGAGCACCCCTCGCCTCTTTCAGAGTAATTCCGAGTCCCGGCGAAGTGTTTCCCAAGGTGACCTAATGCACAATAGCAGATTTGGGCAGATACTACTGATGCTTCATCTTTCTGACAATATGTTAACCTACTCTTACAGAGAGAGATTTTCTTTATTACCTGAAATGTATAGTCACAGATTATCACATAGGAAATGTCCAGGAGATTGTATTACCAGAAGTGGATATAGAATGTGTTGCGTGGGTTTTTTTTTGTGTGTGCTGTAGGGCATCCTTGAGCAGTGTAGATTTATGGAGAGGTTGTAGTAATGAATAGATTATCAATTGATTCAAATGCACAAATAACCAATATGTGCCGGAAATGTAGATAAAACATAATGCCATTATAACCAGTTATGTTATTAACCAGAGGCTTACCATGGATATAAAGCTGCATTTTTATTCATCAACCAATAAACATCAAATCCAGATGTGATTAGTAACTTGTAAGAATAATCAAGCTCTCGTGCAAATGAAAACTGAATGCATGTAAATTTGTTTTCAAATCTGCATTTTAATTTTTAAAAATATCCATATGAAATTAGCAATATGGCAGTGTAGAGTGATGAAAAATTGATTTATCTGTGATGATTAAAGCTATAGTGGCTAATTATAATTATTTAAGCAGATTATCAGAAAATCACTAAACAATATTATTGATGCCATTTTTCTTTCTAAGATCAGCTTTGGAGGGATTCCAGCACCTGGAAAATCAGTGTCATTCCCCCGTAAGAATTTTCATGGGTGTCTAGAAAACCTTTATTATAATGGAGTAGATGTCATTGATCTGGCCAAGCGACAAAAACCAGAGATCATCACTATGGTAAGAGAATCTTCATGTAAATGAATGAGTGAAACTATGTTACTTTTCCACGCAAAAAAACCTTCTCCATTTTGGATTCCCACATGATACGATGTTTTAGAAATTGCTCTTTTAAAAATTTTCTCTGCTAGGCAATATGCATGGAAAGGATTAATCCTATCTAAAGGAATTATAATGCACAGGGCATGATTATTTTATTTTTATATAAAGTAAAGCATTTTTTTTTTTTTTTTACAGTTGATAATTTAATTCTGTGATGTTATTACTCCAGGGGGCTAATTTCTTTGCTGTGTAACTTCCTTAATAAGATATTCCCTGACAAACTCCCTAAATAAGCATGCCAAGTTCCTGGAATCAGATAACATCCATGTATATTAGAGAGGCATTTGAAAACTGTATTTTGCCATGGTCATTCATAACAAATAAGAGAAACGAATAGGCTGTTACAACACTGCATCTGCCAGTCTGTCCCAGTAGCAGTGTTGGTCAGCCTGCATTATATTCGAATTCTGTGGAAATGCAACAGATTTTAAATATGACTGTACTGGTCAGGGTTCAGTCAGGGAAGCAGCACCACTATGAGTCTTATGAACAAGGGATCTATTTTAGGACTTGGATCTTAACAGAGGACCTGGAATGTGGAGGCCAGCTGTCAGGAAGAAGAGATAGAGCATAGTGGAGGAGAGCCAGGACAAACTGGAACAAACCAGCTCCTCTGTGATCATCCTTCAAAACGCTTTGGAAGAAAATGGCTGGCATTTCACTTTTGACTCAAATATCACAGAAGCTCCGTTTTGGGCTCACTTTTCACCAGAACCAGCCATGGAAGGGGGTTCTGGGAAACATGGTTTCCAGTTTAACCAGCTTCATGATAGATAAGCAGACACACAGATCCATTTCAATACATTTCTTTAACTGTTCAAAATTCAGGATATATCCGTTTAAGCTCGTGCTATGTCAGCCAATTCCAAAGCGTATCATGGGAAGATTTGTTGTTTACAAAAGATTTTATTCCTGATTCTCTGTGTGAATTGGTAGTATTTGTAGGAATATACCATCCAGAAAGATTTTTAGTTATTTTTTTTTATAAAAGGGAAGATGATTTAAAAGGAAAAAAAAACCCAAAAAACTGTAGATAGATGTGTTTCATGGGCAAACGAGTTTCCAGAAACCGCTCATGTGGCTAACACCCACTTTTCAATGGCAAGAGGATTTGCTGCTTGCAAGGTAGCAGGCAGCCGTCCAAATGAAGCATCAGACCAAACTGCAGCTGGTAAAATGTTTCCAGTTTTACGAGGTTTGTTAGTTTCTAATTGCCTTTACATTTTGGGTCAGTGTAGTTTATTTTCCCGCTTTTGTTATTTCATTCACTGGGACAAGATATTTGTCCACAATGAAAGCTAATTCACTTTTAACAGAACCACAGTATAACCAAATATTTTTGTTTAACCAAGACCAAATGGTTTAATTCCAAAATGTATCCTTCTAAATAAAGTCAATTTCACTGACTTTTCAAATCTGTATTTGGAGAACATGTTAAAGATTACTTTCAGGAAAAATAAATATGTTTTATATTAATTTCTGAAGACTGTTAAGGAATGTGCTTAATTATTTCTAAATAATTTAGACCTTAAAGTTTTTTGAAATCCTTAACTATCTATTTTACTCTAGTAGGAGAATAATTTATATATCTATAGTATTTTAATGCAAATTTATGCAATTCTAAGGTATCTTGAAGATCTTATAATAGATTTTATAATAAATAAATTTTATAATAAACCATTAGATGAGAAATAATACATGTTAATCTGATGATACAAGCCTAATGATAAGAAATGATAAGAAAAAGCCAAAAATGTTTTAAAATAAATGTTTTAAAAATAAAGGAAGGTTGGGGCACCTGGCTGGCTCATTCAGTAGATCATGCGACTCTTGATCTTAAGGTTTTGAGTTCAAGCCCCACATTGGGTGTAGAGATTACTTAAAAATAAAATCTTTTAAAAAAATAAAGGAATGTGAGTAGTACATTATACATTGTAGTGTCCAGTGTAAAACATAAAAGGAAAAATGTGGGCGCCTGGGTGGCTCAGTCAGTTAAGCATCTGACTCTTGGTTTCACATCAGGTCATGATCTCAGGGTCCTGGGATCGAGCCCCGCATCGGGCTCCCTGCTCAGCAGGGAGTCTGCTTCTCTCCCTCTCCCTCTGCTGCTCCCCCGGCTTGTGCTCACTTTCTCTCTCTCTCTCCACAATAAATAAATAAATATTTAAAAAAAAAAAAAGGAAAAATGTGCTAAGGATATAAACAGACCATTCTGAGGAAAGCTAGTCCAAAAGAGCCACGAACTCATGAAAAATGCTCAGATTCACTGTTGGTCAGGTAAATGCAAGATAAATAAAAATGATATATCACGTTGGCATTTTGTCATTGAACTTGTGCAGATTTAAAAGATCCTATAATACCTATTCCTGCCAAGGATGTGGGGACAAGGATATCCTTATATATTACCAGTAGAAATGTGGAGTATTTTAACTTCTTTTTGGAAAAGAAGCTGGAAATATTTATTAAAACATATTGGTATATATAGTTTTGCACTTAGAACCCTCTTCTGTAGAACTGAAAATACACATAGGAGCATGCAGAGTTATTTATTATAGCATTTCTGGGAGAGGTAAAACCTGGAAACAAGCACATTAACAGGAAAACAATTGAGTAAAAGTTGGACTATTCACATAATAGAGTATTATGCAATCAACAAAAAGAAGGAATTAGGCTTATGCCAGGCAGATTTCCGTAAGGTATTTTTTAGTTCTAAAACATAGCTCCTATTTTTGTAAAATAAATAATGCCTAGTGTGTAGGTATATTGTCAACATATATCTAAGTATGTGCTTATGTACATATAGCTGAACATAAAACTGAAACTATATATATATATTATATATATAAATAAGAGTTCCAATGGGAAAAGAGAAAAATATGAAAAAAAATACAGAAGGATAAACAGTAGCTCATTAATATTGGGTATGTTATGGGGTGGATTAGAACCAAAGGCATCAAAGGATGCAGGAGAAAAGGATTTCACCCAGAGCCCAGGGAGTGGAAAGCCAAGAAAAGACAAAAACAAAGAATTCGCTTAAATAAATTTTTATTGACTTCAATGGCATTGAGTTAGATGCCCTTTATAGAAGTTGAGAGCTGGGGGAAAACAAGATTTCACCAAGAACCTAGGGAAAGATTTTACTATCACAAGATTTGAAGAGCCTTTAAGATATATGGCAAGGATTTGATTTTTCATGTTGATAGCAATTTGTTGTTGTTTTAAACCAAGGATAATAGAAAAACGGCCTTTGTGAATACTTCCATTTCTATTACTAAAATGATGTGAGCCATTCTTAAAGCTTTTTCTTTTGCTTTCTTCTCAGGGAAATGTGTCGTTTTCCTGTTCACAATCACAGTCTGTGCCTGTGACTTTTCTCAGCCCTAGGAGTTACTTAGCCCTGCCAGGCTTTTCCGGGGAGGACGAGCTTTTGGCCACGTTTCAATTTCGAACCTGGAACAAGGCAGGACTTCTGCTATTCAGCGAACTTCAGCTGGTTTCAGGGGGTCTCCTCCTCTTTCTTAATGATGGAAAACTTAAGCTGAATCTCTTCCAGCCAGGAAAATTACCCAGTGACATCACAGCAGGTAATAAGTGTGTTCCTGCAGGCAAAGCAGCATATGGGTTTGAAAGATTTCATTATCTCTCAGTCCCTTTTCCGTAAAATTTTATGCATAACCAAAAAATTAGTATTTGTTTAATAAATGAATACTTGAGTTAATAAGATTATCAGTGTTCTGCCTTACAGGACCTTGATTCCAATTTCCTTTTAAATATGGCTTCGACACTAGCAGTTCTTATTAACCAAATGATAGTTATGAGGGAATAGAAATGTCCTTTCATGACCTTCTTGCCCACTCCAGATAAGTGACCATATCCTGAGGAAATGTGTTTTGGGGAAAAATGCGAAAGACTTTGAAATGGATCCAAAAGTTTACTGGGCATCTTCAGGGGAAGACTAGGCTCTGTCTAACACAGCCATTAGCCTTATCTGGTCCATGAGAGAAAAGGAGAGGTGTTTCTTGGATCTCTATCTCTATTTCTATATTCGTGTGTGATGTAAAACTGAAACGATTAGTCAAAATATCTTCACTTGCTGATGTATTTTGTACAGAGTTGGATATATTTGGGGAGGATGAAAAGATTCATGCCAAGTTCTTCATTTGGGCACCAAATGGGATTCTCTCCACTTCTAGGCAATACGGTATCATAATGATGTGAAGTACTATAATTAAGGAGACTATATGAGTATCTAGAAAATTAATGTCTAATTTAGGTCAGTGCTTTGGGTGAAGGATATTTTTGTCTCTTCATTAAAATTATATAGTTCTTGACAAGGGATCTCCATCACATTTTCACATATGTGGAATAACACCCAAGCCAAGCAACTAGAGGTCACATTGGGGTAAATGGCTACATCAGTTTAATAAATGATCTTTAAAAAAAATTAAAGATGCTGTTGTACTACTCCTCTATATTAACTATCACCAAATTAATAGAATATGACTGAGAGAGGAAAAATCAGTTAGATCACAGTCAGAAACTAAATATAGGAAGAACAAGTATACAGATGGATGCACAAATGCATAGTCTTTATGTATCTTTTTTGTTGTTCAATATATCACTGCAGCTTAAATGTGGGAGCTGAAAGTTCAATATTAATTATAATTTTTAATAGCCACTATGTTGTGACTTTTTAATGTAATTCTCAAAATGTGGTAGATTTGCAGGTTTGACAAAAGGAAATAAATTAATCAGTGCCATATGAATAATTAACAGGCTCCCTAAAATGAGGGCCTAAAAATGTAAGCTTGTCATTAATGTGTCATTTACTGTGATTTATTTGACATCCTAAGGAGTGGTTATATTCATAGCCTTCTTTCAACATCTTAAAGAAACTGCTTCAGTATGTTACTATAGTGAGCCCCATGAAGCTAGTCCATTTCTAAACACATTACAGGCATTAATATTTATTAAATTACTAGGCAGAAGTCTATGTAGAATACTCCGAATGATTTAAAAATCTCTAAATTAATGTTTAAATTTGTATGTAATGTAATCCATTATAGCATCAGAGGACTCAGTATGATTGTTTCCATAGCTAATAACAAGGAACCTTGACTATGGATGAATGCCAAGATAGGAAAAATCATTAAACTTCAGATTATGCAAGTAGGCCTTGACTTACCAACTCCCCCACTCCCATTTTTCCAGTTTCTTGAAAAATATTAATTTTGGCCAGTTTCAGTGAGGCAAGCACCTTTTGCACTTGAAAATGGAGTACATAAATGGTAGTTGGGTGAGTGGTTCATTGGTTTTCTCATGGGGAAGGCTTTCACATGTACAGTGTTCAAGAATTAAGTCCTTTGTCAGAATGTATTATAATGACTCTTTAAAGGGAATCAGATACTTATTCATGGATTTGTATCATATTATGTTAAAGCTTTCCATCCTGTAAGGGTGGCTCAATTTTTCTTAGCTACTGAAGATACAAATTACTAATCTTGTATGTTTTAAAGAATCAAAATTTTTCTGTCTTTTGCAGTAGAATAACAATTAAATTGTGTTGAGAAAGAACCGAATTATTCAAATCTTTGAATTAGCAGGATAAATTTTTAATGTGCTATACAGTTTGGCAAATTGTCACTTGAAATTCTTTGAAAATACTGTCAGCCTGTATCATTTTTGAAATATTAAAGATACTAGTCTAAATTATAAAAGGTATTGCAGTATTACAAAACCCCTCATGACACAAAATATTTCCAGTCTTTGTCGCTTTTATAGATGTCAAAGCAACAATTGTTCAGATGGCATCAAGGACCCAATGAACAGTGTGGTTATATTTTCTTATTTAAAGCAAACTCATTATTGCAGGATTTGAGATTTCTGCTATGATTTAGTGTTTTTGCTGCTGCTTTTGCCTGAAGGTGAAAATCAGGCCTATAAAGCAGCTTCTTGCCGTCGTGAGCAGGCCCTGGTGATGCGGGCTTGCAGCGTAAGAGATGTTTCTGACATTTTTAATTTACTAGACCTTCATGATTCTTGTGGCCCTACCAGAGGAGCAGCCCTCTTGATTTGCCTAACCCAGAAGAAGCCTTGTTTTATTCCACCTTCTTCCCTTTCATTTTTAAAATATTCCTACTTTCAGATTGTTAACCTGTCACTCCCCAAAACTCCCTCTTTTTCCTAAAGTGATTGGCACCAGTGATCTCCATATTTTCATCTTGACAAGCGCTATCTGATGGCCTGGAACTTTACTTCTGGTTAGTGAATATAGTTAATGGATATAGGAATTTCTGACACTGTTTCAGAGCTCTTAAAGATATTTAAAAATGGGAAAAACCCTTCAGTTGCTCCTTGAGCAATAGCCTATGTATAAGCACCTTTTGCACAGAACCTACCCCATACAGCAGGCTTTTTTTCTTTCTACATCTTATCTCATGGATGCCTATTATAGTCTTATGAGAAGAGTGATGGTGGCTAAGCTGTCACAGTTTCTTTGTAGCAACTTAGGGTTGGTACCAGAAGATTGTATACGAGGAGCAGATGTAAATCATTTTCCTCCTTCTGTATTTTGTGTGTTTATGTGGTTGGACCTGAGAATGTGAGAAAAAGAGAGAGAGGGAGAGACAGATAGAGAAAGAGAGAGAAAGAAGGAGGAGGAGGGCAAGAGGATGGGAGAAGAGAAGAGAGGGAGAGGGAGAGAGTTCTGGTAAACAGTTAACTGTTCTCCCCTACTACCTATAATTGCAAACACTTCTATTTATTTTTCTATTCTTTCATAATTCCATTTAGAGTTGTCAGTGCTCTCCATCCAAAGTCCACAGTGAACATACCTGTAATCAAACAAGTTGTGGGTTTATTGCTTATTGCAGCAAGTATGACACACACCCTGGGGAGCCATGGGCGTGTCTTCATATAAAGGTGTTAATTTGGGTTGTTAGCTTATTTGGGGGAAGGTTTCAAGGAAGTGGAGAACTCCTCTGGGTTAAATGTTGCTAGGAAGTGAGGGTAATTGTGTGATGAGGTATCTTTGTAAATCTTATCTAGGATGGAGGAATGAAATAAGGCCAAAGCTGTGATTGGTATAAAAAAAATAAAATAGGTTGTCATTCATATTATCCAGAAGAGGAAGTTTGGTATTTTTGTGGTTTTCACAATAGCCTTGATATTGTCTGGGCTTACACAAGATTATGAAGTAGTCTTGACTTTTTTTTTTTTTTTTTGGTCCAATTTCATTGTAGTTTCCTTGACTAATATTGGTGTTCTATGAGATTGTGTTCAGTGGGAGAACACCAAGGCCTAGCCCTGAGTGCCCGCCAACTTCTCATACCACCGAGGCCTCCTCAGAGTGCCAGGCCACTTCCTAGCAGTTTGGGGGCTGCTTTTTGGTTTCTCTTGTAATTACTTACAAAAGCAAAAAAATAAAGGCACCACCTGTCCTGCAGGCAGAGAACAGCATGGGTTTTGAAATCAGCTTACCAGCTGGACATTACCTTGGATAATTTGTTGTTCTTATTTGAGCATTTTCCCCATATTTAAAATGAGCATAATACTAGCAGTGTTGAAGAGTAAATACACAATGCATGTAAAGCACACAATACCTGTTATGAAATCCATAAAAACTGTTGTTATTATTTTTTTTATTATACCAATAACATGCCCCTCCCCCAGACTCAAAACTTATGAGTGGTGGGAGCAGTCCTCAAATTAGCATTTACTTACCTGTTAACATGAACAAGAAAAAGTACAAATTCTGTGATTCTTCTCCTTCCCTTCTTTTACAGTGGTGTGGTCTTTTAAGGGGCTCCCTCTCATCAGACCTAAAAGCGGGAAAGAGTTGTATACTTTAAAAAAAAAATAGAACCTAATTTTAAAATTATCCTTTTATTATGTCAAGTTAAGAGAAAGAAATTAATTGGACTTTTCATTGTTTAATTTACATAATAAATCCCACTGATGGGTAACAAGCCTCCTCCTCCTAAGTCAGTGGTGTCTGTTATAAGTGAGGCTTGGGAAGAGCTTTCCAGTGGTTCCCTCCCCAAACACAGCACAACTTCACTACGTGCTGGCTGGTGAGGGGGGTGACTTAACTGTGTCAGATGACAGAGCGGCTGTCCTAGCAGTCTTTGCTCTTAATCTAAACTGGCTTCTGTATTGACAGAAGAAATTCCCCAGCTTTGACTTTAATCCTGCAGCATGCGCCACCCAGCGGATACCTGGAGCACTGCTACTCAAAAGCGTGGTCCCTGGACTAACACTCATTCAGTGAAATATTTGTTTCCAAGAGGAGCGTAAACCTTGGCATTAAGTTCTAAGAACCTGTTAGAGCAATAAGATCTTGCTGTGCCATCCAAGCATATGGATGCTGGGCTTGTATTTTATGTCTTCTTCATTTAATTTTTACTAACTTTCCCTCAGTTTTATGAAAGTATCAGTCTGCTCTAGGCCAGGAAAGAAAATGTTCATCACTACAGGTAGCTTGAGAAGCACTGTCCTGGACCGATAAAAAGCCTAAGATAAGATAACAGAAGCAGAATCATGTTTACAGACATGTCCAGTCTTTGAGAGAGCCGATAGGCGGTGCGTGGTGGCGCATGGTGGCAGAGGGAGGGTGGGAGGCGTCATTGCGTGTGACGCAAAGCTCAGTACAAGGACTTTCACTCTAAATGTATCCTCTTAAAGGAGGCTCTAGATGACAAATCTGGGGCATTTGATTTATTTTAGTCCAATCTCATACCGTCAGGAATTACATAACTCTTCAATCGTCTATTTCCAGAGCCCACTCTTAGAAAATGTGTCTAAAAGTATCTAACCTACATTTTTCAGTTTTCAGGTCTTTCTCATCACCTTTCACAAACCAAGCCAGTTGGGTCTTTGAAAATCTTTTTTGCTTCCTGGATGTAGTATAAAAATGAGCTTCGATGCCCAGGATGGAATTTGTGTTATACTAAATAAATCCAGGGCAAAGAGCTTAATCGCCTAAGGGAGATTCTACACATTTTCTGTCTGAAAGCCTGTGGTCAAAAATAGCTGGGGACGTAAAGTAATTGTACATTGTACATTGTATCAGAAAAGAGGCCATGACCTTTGGGTTTAATAGAGTACTCCTATTTTAGTTTACTAATTTGATATACAAAATCATACAGCATTGAGTATTCAATGGATATAAACCTTACTGGTAAATCCACAATAGAGATGCTTAGAGTCCACCTGTTTGCTGATATTCAGACATAGAACCTTTGTAAACTTAATTCCCTTAAAGAAGGAAAGGGCTAAGTCATCTAATGGATTCATCAAACTAGAGCTGCCTTGGGAGGGAGAGGAGATTGTTTTTTAGGGGTGAAGAGAATACTTTGATTTTTGATTAATGCAACTTTTGGTTATATATATAATCTTGAAAAATCCAGGGAAAATATAAAAATGAATAAAAACCACAATTTTCCATTATGCAAAAATTACTGTTTAGGGGTATTTACTTCCAGCCCTTCCCCATATTTATACAAAAAGTAAGAATATCATTAGAATTATATATGTGTAGTTGATTCTCATCATTTGCAGTAGTTATGTTGTGTAAAGTCATTGTGAACATTGAATTAGCAAATATTGAACTTCCACTCCTAGGGGAATTATGGGGTTAGGTTCCTGTGACCTTCTGGTCACATTTTTGTCAACGAGTCTATATATAACCTTGCTTTTATATGTGATTCTGTTTAAAGATACCTTATTTAATATATATTGTTGATCCATTAACATTGAACTCGTGGCCAGATTCACTATAACCGATGCCTGAATGAGGTTCATATAACATGTTTATTTTCTCTGAGGCACTATCACAGCCTTCTTGCATTTAGGAACACCAGACAGTACTTCATCACTATGCCTGGGCTCTTTTAAATGGCAAAATCACCAACCAAAAGCACAAAAATGTGGGAAACATGTTCACATATGAGAGCTGCAACAAGCATTTCCTTGTTTAATCTCAGCTGGAAACACATGTGTCAGTGAACTCAATTTATTCACTGCTCTGTGCATTTCTGTGAATGATTCCAAAGATGCCCTGAGTATTGATTTTGGGGTTACAAATAAATTCTGGTGAGTACGTGAATTTGCAAATATGGAATCTACACACCATGAGGATCGATGATGTAAATGTGGTTTTACACACTGCTTTATTTTTTAACTTCATATTATATGGGAAAACTTTCAATATTCATTATAGTAATTTTTGTAATGATTGACTTGATGTACATTGCTAAATATATAATATTATAAAAGATGACTACACAAGAATATAAAAAAGCAGATAAATCATTTTATTGGGTCTAACCGAGAATTTTGGAAAATATCTGTGCTCTTCCCAAACCCCTCCCTGTAAAAGGTAAAGTACACGATGGAAGCTGAAAACTGTCCATGCCAAATAGTTGGAAGATTTTAACTACTTAGGACTTTGTCCAAAGTTGGGGATTTTGTTCTTTTTATTGAGGCCCTAAGAAAAGAATAACACACCAATTTTCCACAAGAGGGTACCCACTTGCCTCCTTTTCCTGTCTTTCTGTTTCCTTTTATTAATATACTGAGTGCTGTGCTTGATTGGGCAATGTCTGTTGGGTTTCTAACTACTTATACTGTTCACTGTTGAGAGAGATCTCTTTTTTATTTTTTAATTTTATTTTTTTTTATTATGTTAATCACCATACATTACATCATTAGTTTTTGATGTAGTGTTCCATGATTCATTATTTGCGTATAACACCCAGTGCTCCATGCAGAACGTGCCCTCTTTAATACCCACCACCAGGCTAACCCATCCCCCCACACCCCTCCCCTCTAGAACCCTCAGTTTGTTTCTCAGAGTCCATAGTCTCTCATGGTTCATCTCCCCCTCCGATATCCGCCCCCCCTTCATTCTTCCCCTCCTGCTCTCTTCTTCTTCTTCTTCTTCTTTTTTAACATATAATGTATTATTTGTTTCAGAGGTACAGGTCTGTGATTCAACAGTCTTGTACTATTCACAGCGCTCAGGAAACAAACTGAGGGTTGCTGGAGTGGTGGGGGGTGGGAGGGATGGGGTGTCTGGATGGTGAGCACTGAGAGAGATCTCTTCTAACTGATTTCATCTCCCCAGGTGTTGGATTAAATGACGGGCAGTGGCATTCCATCTCCTTATCTGCCAAACGGAATCACCTGAGTCTGGTGGTAGATGGCCAAGTAGCCTCTGCTGCTTCTTCCCTGGGGCCTGAGCAGATTTATTCAGGTGGTACCTATTATTTTGGAGGTAAGAGAAAAGGTCAGGCCATACGGGCAATTGACCCCTATTTGCAGTTACTCCCCCCTGTGTCTTGGAGATGTCATCATGTTTTAACCAATTCAATAGTATGGTAATTTCTCACTTTCTTTGAACATGGAAATGTTGAGTGAATCAAGATGACCAACTATGACCTAAGATGCATTTCTTAGATGTGATTTACTTATGTTCACAATTTCGACAATGAGAATGATTGCAAATAGACAACCGTCTTCAGTTCTCTTTCAAACTTTGTTATATTTTCCTAGTGTGAAATGGTTCTTATATGGCTTTTTCAGATTTTATGGGCTGATTTTATTGCAGTATTTTCCTGCACATGGCTCTTAGCTCCTGTGGAGCATCCGTATTGCTTTCCTACTGCCCAATGCAGAAGGACAGTATTATGCCCATGGCAAATAATCTAACCTAATTAGCCATAGAAACCTCTGTTCATTGCTAAGTAATAATGCACTGATACATTTGATGAAATTAGGGCATCAACCTTCAACACCAGGCCATCTCTCTAAGAGAACAAAAACAAATGAAGCATTTACCTGCCCTGGATGTTTGATTGAACTAAAAGCTTGAAAAAGAAAACCTTGGAAATGGAAATGAGTCTTTACCACTGGAAAATTAAAATAAAATGTGACTTGCCAGTAGAAAGGCAAAGTTGTAAAACTGGTAGTAGTAGTAGTAAGACTTATTTCTAATCATGATTTGGTGTGTTTCTTATTGCTGTCATTTTGAGTTTTAATAGTCACCTCTGTCTAGAATCGCCTTTGAATTTGGTGGCGGTAGTGCAGTCTTTATTATTCATCAATAAAATACAAATTCCTTCCTAAGAATTGACAGTAAGCACACAGACCATGCATCGTTCATCTGATACTAAGAACGAACAAACATGCATCGTTCATCTGATACTAAGAACGAACAAACACTTTCCGTGCTACCCAGGGAGGGGTCCATACGGTTTTCCTGTCATAACTTAAAGGGAAACTTTCACAATGTCTGGAGCCCTCGATGACCTGCAAATGAAGGCGGAGGATGTCCTCAGATTCCTCGCGGCAGGAACCCGCGTGGGCGGCACCAACCTCGACTTCCGAATGGAACCACAGAACATCTACAGAAGGAGAGGTGATGGAGGCTACCTCATGAATCGGAGGAGAACCTGGGAGAAGCGTCTGCTGGCAGCTCGTGCCATTATGGCCGTTGAACAGCTGGCTGATGTGAGTGTCCTATCACCCAGGAATCCTGGCCCGTGCGCTGGGCTGAAGGATGCTGCTGGCCCTGGAGCCACGCCTGCTGCCGGCCGTGTCCCCACTGGAACCTGCACTGACCAGATCCAGCCAGCCTTCCGGGCCCGAGACTCCCGGTGGTGACTGATCCCAGGCCTGACCACCAGCCTCTCACAGAGGCGTCTCAAGTTCACCTGCCTACCATCGCTCCGTGGAGCACAGAACTCTCCTCTGCGCTCTGTGGACCTCGCCGTCCCTTGCAACAACAGGGAAGCTCAGTCAGCCGGTCTGATGGGTGGGTGCCGGCCCGGGATGTCCTGCGCATGCGTGGCACCTGAGCTCTACTTCTGCAGAGTTCCTGACGGGGTTGAAAAGGAGGAGCAGAGCCCGCTGAAAAGGCTGTGACCACGGAGGAATTTCAGGGTGAATGGACTGCTCCAGCTTCTGAGCTCACTGCTTCTCAACTTGAAGTCGCAGGCTGCTCTGGCCACTGAATGGGTAGGAGCAACACCTGAGTGGTCTTAAGCTGCTCTTCCACAAAGGCAAACAAAATGGCAATAAGGTCGATGGAAAGTAAAGAGTTTCTTAAAAAAAAAAAAAAGAGGAACAAACAAAGAAAACCCCTGCCTAATCCGTTGCTGTGAATGGCAGCACATATGGCAACAGTCTTAAAAGACGTAATTGCCTCCTTTAGCGAGATTTGTTCATTTCTGAACCAAGTTGTTTATTAAACCTCATGGAATATATGATTGATTTTATGGCAATCCATGGGAACACATTCCTTTAATAAATGGTAAGGTATGGAGTACAAATTAACTAAGAGCTTTCACTTCAAAGGAAAAAATTTAGAAGCACTAAAAGAGATTTTAAAAATAGGCATATTGTTAAATGTGAAAAAAAAAAGACTAGATAAAGTGAATAGACTGGATAAAAGTGTAAATCATGAAAATAGAATCCTCGTTCTTAAAGTATTTTGCATCCCTCATGTTCATATTTAACGATGCCTACCTATTTTTTGCAGAAAATTTTTATTGCTATTATTCATTCTGTCCTAGTTTATGGTGAAATATATCAACATGTGCACTCTGTAATTTTGCTTGTTTTTATTATGGTACAAATGATATACTCTATTTTATTTAAATAAACTTTTAATCTTTGAATAGTTTTACATTTATGAAAAAGTTGCAAAGATACGAAGAGAGTGCCCATATTCCCTGCACCCAGTGTCCTCTTACATCATATGTGCATTTTAAAGGATACTAATTAGAATACTATGCATATCTACATGTGCATTTCCCAGCTTAGAAAGATAATATTATCAACATTCATTTGCCCATCCAGGGTCCTATCTCTTCATCTCCCCAGATAAACACTGTCTTGAATTTGGGTTTTATTCTCCCTCTCATGTTCTTTATAATTTGGTGTCTATTAAAGTGTTTCTGAGTTCCTAACCAATAAACTGTGGAAGCTTCCATAATAAAATTCAAACTTCAGGACTTTAAAAAAAAAATCACAACACAGGTTTACTTAGGTATCTCTGTTTAATCAATCATTTCAATTGGTGTCCTTCAGTTCCAGAACATTTTGCGCATGAGATTCTACTGATCAATGAACACACACCCTGCACACATTAAGGCACGCTGACATTTCCAGGCTGGGAACAAGAAGCCAAAAGAAAGCAGGGGACCTTCTCCTGCCCTTCTCCTCCCTCCCTTGTTGCAAGGGATGGCGATGTCCACAGAGCGCAGAGGAGAGTTCTGCTGTTCTGCAGTTCTTCCCAGACTTGTGGTCCAGAGACTGGTAGAGGAGGTCCATCCTTCTGGAAGCCCCCTTAGGCCTTTGGGCTGGCAATTCTGGATGTGGGGAGTGGACTAGAGGAGAGTGGGGTGACTAACTCTTCCCAGTTTTATCACTGGATGCCCTGAGTTCCAAGGCAAACTGTCACAGGTTTTGGCCCTAGAAAACCTTCCACTCTGTGTGCCTGAGAGCCTCCTGTAATACTAGGATCCATATTATCTAGGTGGAAGGCTCTGCTTAAGTTGTTACTTCTTCAGCCAGTTTATCTTCAAGTAAATAAATATCCCATGTTCTGAGATGCTTCCCATCAGTTCTCTTCCACTACCCTCTCAACTCACCTGCAGCTTTCCAGTGATCTTATCAGCGTAGAGTTGGCCTACCGTGGCTGCAGTCTCTTCCACCAACCTGCATTGTACCTCCATTCTAGGCTGGTCTTGAGAGTGACAGTCATGTTGGGAGAGGGGGCTGCTCAGAAATCATAGCATTCCGCCTATGCCATACCAGACACCATTATCTGTCCATCGTTTTCCACTTTTTCTCCCTCCAACTGAGTGCTTTTTCAAAACTTCAGACTTCATTGTGGTGCATTGTGCTCGACTTTTATCATTTATAAATTATAAATTTTAAATCTGGGTTCTCCAGATTGAAGGCAGGCAAACGTCTAATTTCTGCAATATTCCCCCATGTGATCTTTGTGCTCTTGAATAACACACTGTGCAGCACAGACCAGAGGCAGCAGACCTTGGGTAGAATTCTCACACCCCTGCTTGGGTAAATCAGACATGCTCCATCCAGTGAACAGGCTAGACCACCATGAAGTCAAAGCCGACATCTTCTGGTGTGGTGACACTGAGTGATTATAATTTATCTGTCATCCTCAGAGGTGCTTCACATGCGCACTGCCTCCGGTAATGGATCCATCCGTTAATTCAGCATTAAGTATTCCCCGGAAATCTTCATATTTTAGACCTTCCATCTCAAATGGGTTCAGTGCTGAACTTCTCTCTGCTGTTGGCAATATATTAACTTGTGGTTGCCTGTTATCGTAGACTAATGAGGCGAACCTGGCTTGAACCCTTCTTTATTCTTAAAATCTCTTGCTTATTAAAAATTGTAGCTGGGAATATGAAGTGCCTAATGATATGACGATGTGCTTTCTGTAAAGTTCCGTAATCTTTCTTTGTCACTGCGTTTGCTTAGTTTTATTCCCTATAGGCATATTGCACAATTTATTTTATTCTGAAATGGTTTGAAATGTGTCAGGAAACACTACCTGGAGAAAAGGAGATTAGCAGAGCTGTTTATATTCCTGGCATATTGTAGTCGCCCCCAAATAGTATTGAACTATTATCCTCTCAGTTTTCACTTTAACATTCTTAATTGGTTAATAAGTCATCTAGAAAACATATCGAGGTTATAATAACCATCTCCTACACCACAGAAGAATTTTAAGCACTGAAAACGTATGTTGTACCATGTACAATAAATTGATACTCCAAGAGCTTTCATCACCTTTTTTTGATATATCAAATTTGAAACTTCAAAGTCTCCCTTGGTTAAAATGTGATATTCCAATGTACCTGATAACTGTTTTAAATATGACTCCTGGCCTTTACTTGCCACGTTAATGTGTTTTGTTAGGAAAATAAGCATTAAGGGGAAATACCGTCAGTCACAATATTTAATTATAATTAGGAAAGAGTGTGGATTGTATAGGTATTAGGAAGAAAAAGAGTGTGGCTTGTGTAGGAATTAGGAAGTTTCTGATTCATTTCTTATTCTTGAAACTGTAATAGTGCTTGGCAACCATAACAGCAGAGAAAGATTAATGAAAAATACCTAAGTATAATGTATGTGTTCATACTCCATAAAATTATTTATTTCACTTGGCTAGAGAAACACTTAGAACATCATTAAACCCCAGAGAATAATGGTTAATAATATAGTTCTTTATTACTTAAATAATTAGAAACAGGTCTTAGATAAGTGTTAGAAAAAAATCAATATAAATGGAGCATTCTTTTATGAGGCAAAGAATAAATAAAATCACAGTGAAATGTTTTTGACGTTAAGTCATTATGATTTATTAAAATGCATGTGTGTATGGCTCTTATATGCATATGAAAATAAAGTATTTAATTAAATAGTTGGTAATTTTATTCCAAGTCAATACAGCTCCTTTCCCAAATAGTTAGCTTTAAATACCAAGGTATTTCACTGTTACTGATTTATCTTTTGTTATCTACAGTGCACATTTTCAATCTTTATGCCTTTTTTGCATTCCAAAAGACTAAGTTCCTGTGTTTAATATATCATTTAATATTACATAATGATAATATAGTATATATAATATATAATTATAGCATATAGTTATTATATATTCTTATTAATACAAAGTATTTCTCTTTATTACCATAGGGTAATAAAGAGAATAATAATAACATGATTTCATGTGAACCCTATGGTAATGAAGAGAAATACTTTGTATGAATTGCAATATGTCATTTAGATCAAACTAATGATGGCTGTGAGGGGCTCTTCCTCCCTCTTAATTTTAAGAAATTAATCAAGTGCCTTTTTTCTTTTCTTTTGTCATAAGGAAGTTGTGCTACTAAATCCTGATTCATTATGATATATCCTGATTTACTTTGTTTTGTTTTGTTTTGTTTTGGTCAGGTTGTCCTAACAACAGCTTTGGATCCAAATGTAAAAATCCACTGGGTGGATTTCAGGGATGTATGAGACTCATTTCTATCAGTAACAAGGTGGTAGATCTGATTTCAGTTCAGCAGGGGTCCCTTGGAAACTTCAGTGACCTTCAGATAGACTCATGTGGAATCACAGACAGGTAAGGGCAATCTCATTTCTTTACCTGACCTGTCCATTTTCAAACATTTGGCAGCATATTAAAATTTATATATAAAACGAATATGTTTTTAAACTTCTCTTTCCTGCCATCACCTGTTCCACAGGAACTGGATGATATTCACATTAGAAATAAGAAAGATATGCTTAAAAAAAAAAAAAAGGAAAAGAAAAATACACTTTTAGTTTTATACTTCATATTTCCAAGGATAAAATTGAGGTGGAAGACATGTGACCATGTTATTTATATGTACACATGCTACCAGTTTACAAAAGGTAATGTTGCTGCTGCTATAATTTTAGATGGGTGTAAATGTATCAAAAATATATCATTAAACTCAGTAAATTAGTACAGTCTAACGGTAGTATTGATCACCACGTACCACTAAGTCATAGACGGACTGCTTCTCTGACAGCTGAGTAATATTTTCAGAGGCCTAGCAGTTTAACTGGTTGCTGTGCTCCTACTGTGTGCCTTTAACAGCCCATTACTGTCTTCTCTGCAGGGAAAATAAAAAGACCCCCTCCTCTGGGAAAGTCTGGAGTGGTAGTATTGATCAAGATATAAGGATGACCAAGTAGTTGCAGTAGGAACTCCACTACAGGGCATGATAATTCAAGATTTGGAAGTTAGTTGTAGAGAACAAGTAAAACAGTAATTGATAGTTAATAATTAAAACAATAAATTGATAGTTAATAATTAAATATTTTTAGGCATGGGCATATTAGCCAAATAATCTTGCCAGTCATGCTTTCATATCAAGAGTGTTAATTTTAATTATTGAGTTCAATGGAGTGTTATGGCCATTACAGATAAAAAAACTAAGCAGTGTTGTGACAGACTTAGCCCCTACCCTGTAGTAATGTTCAATATATATTTTGAATAAATATAAATTCTGAGCTTTAAAAATAACTTTTTATTTGTATGAGCTATTTTATCAACATAAACACACATCTATATATATAATATTATTATATATTATATGTATATTATACCTGGTAGACCATTAGTCTATCAGTGTCTATGATCCTATTTTGAATACTAATAGATATTGTGTTGTGTGTAGAAAAAAGTAATTGTAATCTCATTTAGCAACGGAGTAGAAGGCCATACTTTCCTTTCTATGAATATTTATTTATTCATCATTTATTTATTTAACCTGATTTATAGAGAAAATAATCTTTCTATAATAAAAGATGATATGTGAAGAAAGAATTTAGATTGTAAACCTGAATTGGCTTGATTATGGGACTAAATGCCTGTGACCTTTTTCAAGGTTACATCCATACCAGCTCTAGAACCTTAATCCCGCTCTGGGGAAGGGCGTGTGGCAAGGCTCCCTGAGCCAGCTCTCTCAAGGTGGGGCTCACTTCTCAGTGGCCAACAGTCGTTAGGGCCCCCTGGGAAGGTTCGGCCATCCACACTATTAGTGATAGTCATGTTGACCATCTCAGACTGCAGACAGTTCTCTCTGTACAAGTTGATGCACACTTCTCCAATGTGGGTTTCTCTGAAGCTGTCCTCTTACACAGGGAATCTGGGGAGATACGCACTTGTAAAACAGAGGACTGTGATGCAGCGCAATTGCAGAATGTATAGTTTTAGTACCACATCTGAAAAACACTTCTCAGAAGTAGTGAGCAAATTATGGATAGATCCTGGCTATACGTGATTTATTTTTTTAGGAGAAACTTATGACTAACGGTCACCCTAGTAATCTTAAAAATAATAGCAAAAATCAAAGTAATTTTGGCATTTGTTTACCTTTTAGATTTCCAAAAGTACCTCTAGACTCATCCTCTTACATTCAGAAGAAGATGTATATTCATTTATTTTGGTCTTATGTGCTATACCTATTGACATAGCTTCTAAGCATTATTAAAGTCTTTTTAAAAATCTGTTTACCAGGGTATATCCTAAGCACTTAACATGAATTAGTATTTAAGTTGGAATGACTATGTGTAAGGATGGTGTGAGTGTGCAAGGAGTCTGGGAATGCATGTGTGAATGACCTACAAGTGTGAGCCTGTGTTGGGATAGTATGGTTGTGTGTGTGTGTGTGTGCATTTGTATGAGTTAGTGTGTGAGGAGTTGTGTGAGGGTGTGAGTATGTAGGGTGCTTTTGGATATGTGAGTGAGCTTGTGAGTGTGTACATGTGTGTGAGAGACTGTGTGCAAGGACTGTTCTAAAATGAATTTTATTTTTTAATTTTAAAGATCTAATTGTGTTTATTAAATGATTTATGAATTGGGCAGCGTCCCATTTAGCAGATAGAGGGGGCCTCCCTGAAATGAATTTTTAATTAATTAATATGTACTTAAAGTAATCCTCACAAAAACCCACAGAGCTTGTTCCTAGTAGTATTTGTTTCTAATAAATATGAAAACAGATGCACAGGGAGGGGAAGTTGGCTAAGAGGACATGGCTCAGAAGCAGAGCCTGCATCAAATCTCAGCGCCCCGGGGCCAGGGAAGTCCCATGGAAATGTCTGCCTGCCGAGCTGTATAGCCCCCTGGGGGCACATTCACATTTATTGTGGTTACTATTAATCTATGTATAATAAACACATAATTTAATGGTTTAATACATTGCAGTTAAAAACACAGGAACATTAGGGCGCCTGGGTGGCTCAGTTGGTTAAGCGACTGCCTTCGGCTCAGGTCATGATCCTGGAGTCCCGGGATCGAGTCCCGCATCGGGCTCCCTGCTCAGCGAGGAGCCTGCTTCTCCCTCTGACCCTCCCCCCTCTCATGTACTCTCTCTCTCTCACTCTTGCTCTCTCAAATAAATAAATCTTTAAAAAAAAAACAAAAACAAAAACACAGGAACATTAAAAATATACTTAAAAATCTGATGGGAACTAAACAGTGTAGCTCTTTTTTTACTGTAACTTTAAGTTGGATCAAACCTACACGTAAAGGTGTACATATATTTGCACACGTGCTCACACTCACACTTGTACAGTCATTCTCACACACTCTTTACACACATAAATGAATGGCCATTGCACAAGCCTCTCACGTGTCTGTATACACTTGTGTGCTCCCTCACACACCCCAAAACTCTTTACCACACACAATCCTTACACGTATACTCCTTATACATGCATTCCTCTACCTCCTCACTCATTAATCCATACATATGCACACTCACACACATGCACACACTTATAAGATCACTCCCACAGCCCTTACACACTCACATCTTCCTTCCACACAGTCACACACACACACTCATTTAGAAGCCCTCCCTTTGTTCTCTGTGCACATGCAGGGGAAGTGGCCCTACGTCAGAAATCTGGGTGGGGGGTGACTGAGGGCTGAGGGCAGTCAGTCCCTCGGTGGAACTGAGGACGGGACCACCAAGGGAGCTGCTGTCCATATCCCATGTCCCCATGTAAGTTATGAGCAATGAAAATAATGATGGAATTGTCTACAGGAAAATGTTGGAGGCTAGAGAGAATGGGTTGATGGGTTGTTTCACTTTGTACTGGAATGACTAGTGAGGAGAAAAGTGTAAATTGTTTAGACATTGAATGAAAATCAGTACTTCACTATACAATGTAATTTACCATAGTTTACTTACTGTTCATCAGACAGAGCTACTACATGGTGAATTTAAATAACATCCACAATCCAGGCTTCACGTTGTAATTAAAAAATGGGAAAAGTCAAGCCTAACAAGAATCAAGGAAAATGAATTCAGTATCTTTCAGCAGCAGCAAATCAAATAGAAATTTCACGCGTATCACACTAAGTATTCATTCTTTAGGATCTTAGGTATAGCCGCTTACATCTGCCCCCTTTTAAAACATGGCTGAGGTCTGTAAAGAAGAGCCTGCTCTGTCCTTTTCTTTTCTGATCACCAACTAGGGTTATTATTGTTTTAATCTCCCTCTTTCTTCTAGATTGTTATTGACTTGAAATGCTTCAAAAATTAAATACATGGTGAAATATTCTTTGAATGGATTCCTGTGAATCTATAAAAATGCTAAAATTTATGTAAACTTAGTTGGCAGTGGGAGATGCCCATTACTTATTTGTGAACCCTTAAAAAGCAGGTTGTAAAATAACATATGATTATATTTATAAATACAACCTCACACACAAATGCATGTATATATGTTTATAGTGGTGACTTTTGTATAAGAGGTTATAAACTATATTTCTTCTCTGTCGTTTCCTGGATCATTTGATTTTTGTACAGTGGGTATCTATTTTTTATAATCAGGAAAAATCAATAACATTATTTTCAGTTAAAATTGGAGAAATCCTATAAGTGAAACATGAAGTTTCCCATCCTTAGTTTTTTAATAATAGAGGTGGCAGAAACCCCAGTATGAGTGCATTCTTGACATGCTTCACAGTTTATTTTTTTATTCTGGGGTAAAAGAAAGCATTTCAAGCTTTGGTCTCAATATACCTTTCAATCTGAATTCTAAAAAGCATCAATAATCTGATCAGGGCTGTTCAAGTTGATACCAGAAGCTCCCCAGCTTTGTTGTCCACAGCACCCTATGTATTTCAGTGATTTTTCTCATAGTGTTCCAAGCCCGAAAATATAACTAACACTTTCATTTAAAAAGTAGCTTAGGTCCAAACAACTTATTTATGTACTAAAATTTAGTAACTCTTTGAAAAAGGAATATATATATATTACAAATATAATATATACATCTATCTATATATGTCTATATGTATGTAATTCATATAGTTGTAAATGTCAGTATATATATTATATATAGTATTTATGTAATTTGAAAATATTTTAATTTTATTTTGAATTAAACAACTCCTTCGTAATTACATGTGTTTACCTGTTGAGTACTGCACAACAGTTCAAAGCTTGGGGTCAGGTCAGACACCACCACCCTCATTTTTGTTCCACACTGATTTCACCTGGTACTGGGTTGTTTTATTTTTTTTTTTATCAACTACTGAAAATCCAGCTTCTTACAGATAGGACGTCACTAAAAGGAAAGTATTACGATCTAATGTTGAAATTGAACTGTCTCAAGCTAGGAAGTTGTCCAGTCTTGGTCAGATACTGAGTATGCCTATATTTCTCTTGAAAAGTTAAAATATCCTGGGAGCCCCTGTGAGTTCCATTCAGCAGCCTGGAGCACCCTAACACACTGCTAGGAATTCGTGTGTCTATCCAGTGCACCTTCAACATTCCTGGAGGTCTTCACTTTACTCAGAAAGTGAATAAAGACACCCTTCCCTCCTACTTCCTTCTTTTCTTCTCTCTTCTTTATTCCTTCTTGTAAATGTTCAGTGTAGGAAATCAATATGATTAAATAAATGTTGTTATTTTATGTAAGCTATTGATATTTCTGGCAATGTATTGAATTAGTGTTTTGTCACTGAGAGAAAAGAAAGGACTCTGATATAGTAGCACATGTTGAAAATGAAGCAGTCACAACTACCTGAGAATTGGTTGAAATCTGATGAATTTATTGATCGAAGGTTTGGTTCCGTGATTAAACCACCTTGACGACAGACTGAATAACCACGAGTCACGCTGAATTTACCCTTTCTGTTACTGTTGACATTCTTCTCTCACACGACCGTGTATAACTGATCAACATTTTATGATCACTCAGAATGAAAAGTAGTGATTGCATCTGCACCTTCTCGTAGGTGTTTGCCGAACTATTGTGAACACGGTGGTGAATGTTCCCAGTCCTGGAGCACCTTTCACTGCAACTGTGCAAACACTGGTTACACGGGGGCTACCTGCCACAACTGTAAGCTGAACACACCTGCTGCTTCTTGCCTCTGTTCTGATTTCCTTGTTCCGTTTCCCTTTCCATGGCTGTGTGCATATTCCATGTATTCCATGTATTCCATGTTCCATGTACTGGAATGCACAACCCTGAAGTTTAGCATCCAGTTGCTTTCTAGTTTATTTTCAATCCACACCTCTTTTCAAGAAGTTGTCAAAGTAGCTTATAGAAATAGATAACATTAAACAGGATAGAGAAGAGTAGGAGAGCTGGCAAAGGGGAAATACGTATAGAAAACAAAAGGCAGCTAAGGATAAACATAAACAATGCAGAATACATAATCCTTCAATTCCCTGGCAACCCCATTAATGAGGATAATGAAATAAGGATGGCAGATAATGATGTTAATCATTAAATAGTTCATTTTATTGAGTATTTTCTAAATGCCAGGCACTGATCTAGTATTTTATATGTCCCAACTCCTTGAATTCTAATGACCACCTTAGTGGGTGGGTATTATTATTATCCCCAATTTACTAATGAAGTAACAGAGAGAGATTAATCACCTTGCCCCAGCCTCCTTAAATAGCTGAGGCATAGTGAGGATGTGAACACTTGCAATTATGCTCCAGAGCCTGGGATCATAACCAACACTCTTCCTATATTATAAACCATGCAATTTTTCTGATGAAATGTTTGCATGTTGGGGAGCCTGGGTGGCTCAGTCGGTTAAGCGTCTGCCTTCGGCTCAGGTCGTGATGCCAGGGTCCTGGGATTGAGCCCTGCATTGGGCTCCCGGCTCAGCGGGAAGCCTGCTTCTCCCTCTCCCACTCCCCCTGCTTGTGTTCCCTCTCTTGCTGTGTCTCTGTCAAATAAATAAATAAAATCTTAAAAAAAAAAAAAAGAAAGAAATGTTTGCATGTGTTGTAAGACTCATTTCATTTTGATGTCCACTTTTTCCGTATGTATGATGGGGAGATCTAAGCGCCCATTTTTCTCATGTCATTACTGACCTTGCCAGGCAACTTAATTCCTACTCCCATCTCCTGTAGCCCTGACTTCAGGCCAGGGTGTTATGTCATCAGACTCCTCATTCCTGTTCTCTTCACTGTGTGCTACTTTGTATTCCTGCTAGAGTTGAGACTGGAATCCTGGGCTCCCAGCCCTGGACATTCTGTAAGGGACCCTCGGAAGTCCTGATTCAGGGCTGGCAAGGGCGTGAGCGGGAGGAGCTCCTGGCATCACCCCTCAGACCTGTACCCCCGCAGCCGGAATCATTCCTAAGGCATCTGTTTATCTGTTGGAGTGCCTCACAATATCATAAAGAATGCCTCCTGTTGCTAAAGCCACACCTCACTGAAACCAGAAGCCAAGTTACCCAGCTAGCTGTCTACTTTACTTTCTTACATCCTCCGTCATCCTAACTGTAGTAACTAACTCAAAACAAAAAGCTAATCGAATGTGTTTTAACTATTTATTTGTAATTATTATCAATGACCAAATCTAAATATAAACACAAACAACTCTGAGGAAAAAAATTGGATAAATAAAATATTTTCATCTGTGGCCACAGTTTGATGAATAAGTTCTTGAACAGATAGTCCAAATGGAACTGAAGGGTTTTGGCCAATAACCATTCTGAGAAATGGGGCCAGGATGACAAACCTGGATATAGTGAAGCCTTGACCATCGTTAGCATAAATAGGGGAAGGGGCAGGGATGCAGTCTTTAAAAGGTTTCATTAGATAGCAGGAAGGGAAAAATGAAGGGGGGGAATCGGAGGGGGAGATGAGCCATGAGAGACTATGGACTCTGAGAAACAAACTGAGGGTTCTAGAGGGGAGGGGTGTGGGGGGATGGGTTAGCCTGATGGTGGGTATTAAAGAGGGCACGTTCTGCATGGAGCACTGGGTGTTAAACGCAAACAATGAATCATGGAACACTACATCAAAAACTAATGATGTATGGTGATTAACATGATAAAAAGAAAAAAAAATAAAAGGTTTCATTAGAAAGTAATATGTTGTAAACAGTCATGTTATAAAGAGTCAAGCAATACACATAAAGCAAATGTATTCCTAATTACCCTCATGCAATCACGTGTCCTTTCTACTACCAGCCCTGACTCTCAAGTCGTGAGTCTATCCTGCCAGCCTCTTTCAAAGAATTTATGAACATATGTATATGTGCATACAGAAGTGAATAAACTAACCATTTTTACTTGCCTGTTTCACTGCACAAAATATAAATGTGACTCTAAAACAATCCATGCTTATATTTTTGTCTATGTCATATATAATAGGAACAAAATAAAACCATCAGACTGTGGAGGAATGGAGAAGTAAATTTGTATGATTATTCAAAATCACTGTAACACTGAGCAAATTAGCTACATTATTTCATATTGTTTAAGTTGTCATTAATATAATTTTCAAAAATTTGGACTAGGTCAAGGAAAGACATTCAGGGCATGACTTACTTCTCATTTCATAAAATAAAAAGCTTGATGGAAATCATAAGTGTATGTGGCCAAGTGTTCAATAAGATGTGCATCATATACAGTTATTAATATCAAACTTTGTACATGGCAAATGTATAATTGTATTCTCAAAAACATCCAATTATGGATTAAAACATATTGAGACCACTTGAGGGCATATTTCATATAAATATTTCTTTTGCTTCCAGTTTTAATTATATTAAATTCTCATTACAGGGCATTACAGAAAGTTTCTTTTATAAAATACTTTTAAAATTATTGATGAGGAGCCTTGGTCAATTTTTTTAAAGATTTTATCTATAGATAATTTTATATGAGAAAGGAGAACAGTTACATTATTTAAAATTTTTCTATTACATAATTGTGGATAAAAGCAGATTATTTTTTTTCCTTTTTAAAATAATTTTTTTATTATGTTAATCACCATACATTACATCGTTTTTGATGTAGTGTTCCATGATTCATTGTTTGTGCATAACACCCAGTGCTCCATGCAGAACGTGCCCTCTTTAATACCCATCACCAGGCTAGCCCATCCCCCCACCTCCTCCCCTCTAGAACCCTCAGTTTGTTTCTCAGAGTCCATCGTCTCTCATGGTTCGTCTCCCCCTCCAATTTCCCCCCTTCATCCTTCCCCTCCTGCTATCTTCTTCCTTTTTTTTTTCTTAATATATAATGTATTATTTGTTTCAGAGGTATAGATCTGTGGTTCAAAAGTCTTACACAATTCACAGAGCTCACCATAGCACATACCTTCCCCAATGTCTATCACCCAGCCACCTCATCCCTTCCACCCCCCACTACTCCAGCAACCCTCAGTTTGTTTCCTGAGATTAAGAATTCCTCATATCAGTGAGGTCATATGATACATGTCTTTCTCTGATTGACTTATTTTGCTCAGCACAATACCCTCCAGTTTAAAAGCAGATTATTTAAGGAGATTATACTATTGTGTTTCAGATGTGAGGTTATTACAAGGTGACACTAGAAATTCCAAAATGGATGTCAGAAGATCCATTTGGGTGGATGTCCGAAATGGATGTTACATTATACTTATAAGCATTTTGATATTTAAAACACATACCTTCTCTTTTGTTGTTTTACCTAATGTAAAAATTATTTTTATTTTGACTAATAATCTCATATTTTCTTAATGACAAAAGGTAATGCCACAGAATTTAATGTCATTCTGCCTTTTTCTGTATTACCTTTCATCCATGTTAATTTTTTTAAAAAAAGAATGAGTTTTGTTTTAAAGTATGTTTTACCTTTTCTCATGGTCAGTAATATACATATTAAATTTCAAAACTTGGTGTATTTTGTGTCCAAATTAAAATTTAAGAGATTATTTTTATACTATTCCATTTATGAGGATCCATTTTTTTTTCTTACAGCTATCTATGAGCAGTCATGTGAATCCTATAAGCACAGAGGAAACACTTCAGGGTTTTACTATGTAGATTCAGATGGAAGTGGTCCTCTGGAACCCTTTCTTCTATATTGCAATATGACTGGTGAGTTACTCAACTTTCATTTAATAGTTAAATTTGCATGAATGCTTTAAACACACAAATTTAAAATGAAACTAGTAGAAAGTTGACCTCCTTTGCAACTTGATTAAAATGTATATTGTTCAGTGGAAGAACTTAACAAAAATCTTTAAAAAATAGTTTAATGGTAATGATTTAGAAATGTTTCATTATTTTCAATGAATCTGGTATCTGTGTAGAACATCTAATAATAGATGTATCTTATTAAGTCCCCAAACAAAAAGGACAGACTATTTCTCTGAGAAGACTGATACATGTGAAAGCTTTGAAAAATACTTACTTTTTAAAAGTAGGTAAACATGACTTGTGTTCTTGAATTCTTTACTTACATAAATTTAAATAGGAATTAATAGTCAAGGAAAATGTATTTGATTAAATTGAACATCCGTTCATGATAAAAGAGAAGGTAAAAACTCAATAAATTACCAATAGAAGGAAATTTCCTTACTTTGTTAAAGAGTACTAACAAAAAAATCGTGTAGCACATATCACACTTTATGGTGAAATATTGAAAGCTTTACCCCTGTTACCAGCATTAACACAAGGATGCCTGCTATTATCACTCTGTTCACCATTATATTGGAGGTCCTTGCCAGTGTAATAAAGAAAGAGAAAGGAAAGATGTAAGTACTGTAAGGGTAGAACTAAGATTCTCATTATTTGTCTATGACCACGTTACCTATTGATTCTCATTATTTGTCTATGACTAGGTTATATTTTAGTATATGTATATATACTAATATATATATATATACACACAGATAAACTATTAAAATTTAGAATGATCACTGGGTATCAAATTAATATAAAAATTAACTACATTTCATTTCTGCATACCAGCAGTAAGCAAAATGAAGTTTTAGAAGATTTTATTGCCAATCACATAAAAAATCTCAAATACATGGTAATAAACCTAGTGAAAGATATGCATGACTTCTACATAGAAAAGTATAAAATGCTCATGAGATAAATTAAAATTCTAAATAAATGAGGAAATATAAAAATTCCATTGATTAGAAAACTCAGTATGGTGTAAATATCAATTCTTCCCATGTAGGTTTTGATTTGGTACAAGTCTGAATTAAAATTCCAGTGGGGTGTTTATTTGTTGGTTGATGTAACTGTTTTGGTGAAAACTGGCAAGCAGGTTCTAAAATTTGTCAGCAGATTTGAAGGGACAGGAAGAACCAAATCAATCTGGAAGAATGAAGTTGAAGGACTCAACTCTAATAGATATAAAGACATTCTACTGACAGGCTCAGTGAAACTGTGTGTGACCGGCATAAGGATAAACAAGTAGATCCGTGAAACAAAATAGCTAAACAGACTGACTCATGTACGTGCAGTTGACTTACTGCAAAGGTGGCGTTGATACACAGTGAAGGGAAGACGGTCTTTCAGCCAGAGGTGTTGGTGAGAGGGGCTGTAGATAAATGTCGTAAAAAAGAATCTTGATCCCTTCACTATCAAACCCAAAACAATGGATTCTAGATGAACTGTGTTGTCTTCTGTATTAGCCACTGGCAACAAATGCCGACTTCAATTCATATTTAATTAAAACTAATTAATGAAACTAAGTGAATGGAAATAAGCTTTAAAAATTAAAATTAAAATTAACAAAAATAAGACTAAATGCCCACTTTTCTCAGTCTCACTGGTCACATTTTAATTGCTCAGCAGCCACCTATTCTATCATTGCGGAAAGTTTGCATTGAATAGCACTGTCAGGAAGTCACAGTTTTCTGGAGCAAAACAAACAGAAAAAGGAAATACTACATTGAAGTAGCAGGTGTTTCAGAGGGGGATTCACTACTTAAGATCAGGCAGTGAGTATCTGGGGAAAGAACATTCCAGGCAAAGGAAATAGCAAGTGCTAAGTGCTGAGAGCAGTGATCTTACCGGGTGCATTCAGAAAATAGCAACAAATCTAGTGTGGTTGGAGTATGGCAAGTAATCGGGGAGTAGTGGGAGAACAAGAGACAGTCAAGTAAGGCAGGGCCAGGAGGGGAAGTCTCATTACTCTGAATGAGACGAGAAAACACCAGGGAGTTTTAAGCAATGATGGATGCCATCTGACTGCCTTTGGTGGGATCATGATGTCGGAAAGTGCCCATTTAGGAGCAGAGGTACACACATACACACACACACACACCCATATGCATGGATATATATAAGGTATAGATCTATATGTATGTGTATATAATTTATGTCCATCTGTATGTCTGTAACAGGAATAGAGACCTGCTTGGAGACCAGTTCAAGTAGTGTAAGGATCCATGCGAGATGATGGTGGTGGCTTGCACTGGATAATAGCAGTGTGGACGAGGGAGGGAGGTTCGACTTTCTCATTGAATACATGTGAGGTGTGAGAAAACAGAAGGAAACAAAAATAACACCACATTTTTAGTTGGGCAACTGGAGTAGTTGAGTTGCCATTATTTGAGATGTGGTCAGAGAAGGTTTGAACGGGGGGCGCCTGGGTGGCTCAGTCGGTTAGGCATCCGACTCTTGATTTCAGCTCAGGTCATGATCTCATGGTTGTGAGATTAAGCTCTGCATTGGGCTCCGTGCTGGCTCAGCACTGGGCGTGAAGCCTGCTTAAGATTCTCTCTTTCCCTCTACCCCTACCTAAAAAAAAAACAGAAAAGAAAAAGAAAGAAGAAAAGAGAGAGAGAGGTTTGAGGGGAAAGACAGCAGCTCAGTTTTACAGTTTGAGTTTGACACGTCTGTGACACATTCAGAGGCAGTTGAGCATGTTGAGAGCAACTGAGAAGGCAGTTGAACATGGGACCAAAAGTTCCTTTGTATTAATATGTAATTCTAAAAACTGGAGGATGGTGGTAAAACCATGGCAACAGATATTTAGGGAAATTAGAAAATTAGAATGTATCTTCAGAGATTTTTCATGTAACACAACCAGATGGCTTCCATTTGCTTTCACAACCATTGAGGACATTGCCTGTCTTAGTCTGTTTGAGCTGCTGTAGCAAGATAACCACAGACTGGGTAGCTTACAAACAACAGAAATTTATTCCTTACAGTTTTAGAGGCTGGGGAGCCCAAGATCAGGGCACCAGCATAGTCCAGCGAGGGCCTCCTCTGGGCCAGACTTCCTGTATCCTCACATGATGGAAATAGCTCTGTGGGGTCTCTTTTATAAGAGGACTAAGCCCATTCATGAGGCCTCCACCCTCATGACCTGATCACCTCCGCAAAGCACCCCCTATTAATACCATTAATACCATTCATTATCTTTGGAGGTTAGGTGATTCAGCATATGAATGAGGGGGCACAAACATTCAGAGCATAGCACTGCCCCAAAAATGAAAGCAACCTCGGACAGCTGATGATACCCACGTTTGTCCCCTCCGCTAAGTTCCCCCTTCCACACGATACAGATTTCCAGGCAGCACCTTGAGTCAAGAGGTTAGGACACAATGGTTGGGGTGAGACAATAGGATCAATATTTTACAAATCTTCCCAATTGGTTCTTAAGTGTACCCAGCTCGGAGATTTGCTGTTTTGGGCCTGTGGTTCTCAAGCTATACAAAACAGAGAATGGGAGAATTAAACATAATAAGTTTGAAAATACCTCACAGAGAGGAAAGGAAAACTTTGCAAATGAAACACAGAACTTTAGGTGTCAACTAACTTTTTGATGTTTCCTGTTTGTCCAGCTTGGGTTGTGAATGAGCTTGAAGAATCTATCAGTGCAACCCTGTGAGTCCTGTCTTCCCACAAATGCGTCCTGTAGTAGTCACGTGGACGTGCTTTAAAAAGGTTGGATTTTACAAATCAGATACCTCTAAGTTGATAAATATCTCGAATCTTTAAAACTTTAAGAAACATAGTAGACACACACGCGCACACACACACACGGTTCTCATTACCCGTGATAGTTACTTTCTGCAAAGCAGCCATAGACACTGAATTAGCCAAAATTGGACCATTCGCTCCTAGAGGAAATGCAGTAAGATTAGGTTCCTGTGAGCCTCTGGTCAGAGCATTCGCATCAGCCGATCAATACATAACCTCATTTGACTTGTGTTTCGGGTTGAAGACACCTTATTTAATGCACACGGTTAATTCATCAACATTGAACTCACAGCCACCAGCACGATAACTCCCACCTCGGTGAAGCTTATTCTAGCACGTGCATTTCCTTGTGAGGCATATCACAGCCTCCTTGTGCTTGGGATACTAGACAGCTCTTCAGCACCCCCCTTGGAGGCCATTTTAAGCAGTGAAATCATAAGAAGAAGCACAGAAATGGAAAAAACATGGCACTGAATAGACCACAAATGAGATACATGTCACAGTATGAGAGCTGAAACAAGGAGACAGAGTGTGGCCTGGTTCAGCTTCAGCTGGATGCGTGTCTACTGGGCAACTCAAGCTTTCTGCTGCTTTGTGCGTGTCTGCAGATGTCCAAGAGCACATTGATTTGGGGGGTACAAATAAATTGTAGTGAGTAAGTGATTCACAAATAATGAGGACCTGCAAATAATGAGTATTGAGTCTATACACATACAAACACCCATGTGCATGATATCTTTCTATGGAATAATTCTAAAATTTATAGGCCATGTGAACTTACATTATCTAAATGATAAGGCAATTATCAATTTCATTTAATTGAATGAATTATTCCATTTCTATTAAATCAGCATTTACCTTGTCATATTACTTTACGAGGTATGTGCCTTAGTCAATGAAGTCTCATGCTAACTGTAACAACTCTAAGAGACATGAAGGAAATATGTATATACACACAGAGAGAGGTGAAAGGTGCTTCAGCAAAATTATCAGAAAGTATTGATGCAGAAGAGGACATTCACAACATTTAAAGCCTTTGAAAAGCAAGCCATTGAGGGCAGAGACACAGATAATTCGGGAGGAGACAGCTAAGTGGCTGTCTTAGCTGTCAGAGGCCCCGGAATATTGAAATACATTCACACTAAAGT